TTGAACTTTACAGATTGAATCATGTTGCCCACTCTATCGTTAACTATTTAACGATGTTATGGCGTGACACAGACATCAAAACGTCGTCGTTTTTAAAAACTCAAATATACTCCAAAATAACGTCGTTTCAATGAGTAAAATAAGAGAGAGTAAAGTTCAATGACTCATGGTGTAATTTACCCTTTTTTCTTCTCTCTATAGGGCACCTCCTTATGTATTTATTTTTTTATTTTATATTAAATAATAATAAAAAAGTCACATCATCAACTATTAAAGAGAAAGCGGTCAAGTGAGCAAAATAATTCAATTGTAAAGTTTAGTGAACAAGTTGATCAAATTGAATTCAATTGTAAAGTTCAGTGAACAAGTTGATCAAATTGAAAATTGAATGAGGAAAATAAAAGAGAGATATAGTTCAATGAGCAAGAGTGTAATTTACTCTTATATATATATCCACCTATATACAAATATCCCAAACTTATCTGGAATGATTGTCACCCGACAGACACAGTCAGTGATGGAGCAAAAACAAAACAGTGAAATGACAGGTAGGGGATGATTTGATTTCAATCATTGATTAACTTTATTCCAATTTAATTATCTTTTTAAGGATTCTATTCAATGTGAAATCAAACGTAAATCAAATAATCTTTTTGTTCATATAATAATAACAATAGAAGCAAAAAGTTTGTCCAATATCTGAGCAGGTAGGCTCATTATGAATCTGAATCTGCCTATCAGCATCTTTTTGTTTCTCAATTTCCCCATGCCTACAACAACGAATGGCTTCCCCAAGCATAAAAAACAGGTGCATGCAGTGAGATTTTGAAGTTTTTACACCATCTTATTTGTTCTTCGAGCTCAATAAAAAGACAAAAACCGACGCAGCATGCTTGATTCCTTCAAGGCCAGGACCCATCCACAAACTGCAATAACCACTATAAATCAAGTTGTACCACTTAAACAAAGTTAATTCTATAACATGTAATACACAAACTCATTAAGACATGGGGATATGATTCTCCGAATACATGAACAGATTTATTGACAAAATGAACATGCTCATGTCACACATATCCGTATCCGACACTCACACCCAAGTCCAAGTAATCATCCATTACAACCACACATTATCCATACAAGTTCAGCACATTCATGCATTTAAAGAACCAAACTTGACATAGTTATTTTAAAGAAAATCAAGTCATACACACACACACACTCATTTTTAGGGTACAGGCAAAAAAAAGGGTAAGTCAGGACATAGAGAACATACACATCACCACGAAGCTCCACTTGAGAGCACCGACCACCTACAAGTCCAAGTTACAATTTTAGTATGAAGCCCAACTATCTTAGAATGATAATAATTGTCCTTTTCTCCATGAAGGGGTGTCAATAAATTTCATACCTGAATGACTGAACACTCGCAATTTACCTCTGCCTTCTTATCAACATCACCAATTACCAAATGCATGAATATCATTGCTCTGCAAATACATATCGAAATATAAATTTCATACACTTAGTTGAGGTCATTCTGGAAGAGATGGACAGATATCCTAATTATACATATTCGGATCCAATCTTAGTCTCTAACTCTAACTTAAGGACATTCAACCCAAGTAGAACTTTCATTAGGTTGGTCCAAAATTGAAACTGAAACATCAACCGGCTATACGAGAATTCCTTCTGGGTCCTTAAAGCTCTAACTTGAGCCTTTCCCCCCATTAATGCAACATCTTCAAGAGGAAAAGTAGCTAAAATTTCACATTTCTGTTGACATGCTTTCAAACTCGTACTGCTTAAGAAAAATTAGCTCAAATACAAAGAAAACGAAAATCCTTCTTTAGGAAAGAAGTGCATAAAGTAAGAGTGAGGACATAATTTATAAACAATGCCACTCTTGGGGGGGGGGGGACCGTACAAGTTAACGAATTATAAATTAAAGGTTAAACAATAACAGCTTATTAAGAATCTTTCTGAAAGCCTGAACCTCTCACCTGAGTCTAGATGGAGGTGGTCACACAACTCAGCCTGTGCAGATTCATCATTGGTGGCAAATATCTATTTTAGACATTCTAGGTTCCGTGACTTCAACTATTTGTAAAATCCCTCATTGAGACCAATTCCTTTGGACATAAGTTGCAAAGCTGTGCCCCTAACAATCCAACCAGTATCTTCAGGTTTATCTTCAGATGGGTTCAGAGAATGCACACTTTTATCATCCACTTGTACACCATATATAAATGGCAGTCTCAATACAAGAAAACTCTCAGGTGGTAAGATCACTTTACATCCAAGGCTGAACTGCAACTTTTCTTTGCGGTCTGGAACCGATGAGGGTAAGCAAGATGCCTACAACAAATTCTTCCTATTATTTAGACAAAATAACAGTGAAAAATCACTGATCGATTTGAAAAAATATATTAAGCTTAAGACACTTTATTCCCATGACAGATGCATGTCATAGAAGCTGTCGATCTCCTCTTTATAATCAAGTTGCTATGATATCAATAAAGGGAAAAATCAGACGACGACATAAAAATAACTGCCCCAACCAAAATCCTCAAGTACATAAGGTTTGCTGGGAGTAGTGAAACATCATTTGGATCTCATAAATAGTGGAAGTAAAGCTCATGCATGAGGAAGTGAGATATACCTTGAATTGTATAACTGGACAAGCTGCCAAAACAACAGGAAAGGGAGGTGTGACCTGGAAGCAGTTCTAACAATCAGCCACATTGTAAATAATGGTAAAAGGCTAAATTGCATGTATTAGTCACCTAAAATGTGACAGATGAAACATCTGTCAGCTAAGCATAGCTTAATGAAGTTCCAGACTTATACTTTGATCATTCCATGAAAAATAATTAGGTACCGCATAAAGCAATTGATGAAAATAGAGTATTTTTGTCCAGATGATCCACTCCACTTGTCAAACCGTCAACAAAGAAGATAATAGCTGTGCTATTCCTATATTAGTTAACGAGGGCGTTTCTTGCTTTTGCTTCTTTCCTTTTTTTCCCCAAACAGTTGTCTTTCTTTCAAGTATTTTAAACTACAACTTAATAAACAAAGATGGCCACAGCACAGCATTTAATTACATCAACATAAATGTAGCGAGAAGCATGCACTTTCTAACCCAGTGGATGATACTATAAATTTATCATAGATTATGTCACTAGAACCAAGTATTCACTATGTCAGAAATTTGATTTTTCAAGCATCTAAATACAATATTGATTAAATGGATCAACAATCCGGAGACATGCCCGGTTCTTTATGTTCATCTGGTCAGAGAAATTGCTAAGATAGTGATGGAGTTCAATGTTATAACTAGGCTTGTCAACAGATGTATTAATGGGGAAGCTGATAGTTTAGCTAAAACAGGCATAGGCTAGTGTAAGGTCAGGTGCTTTGGTTGTGTTAGGTGGATGTCTGTTGGAGATGTTTAATTAGGGTACTTGTGTATTTTTTATGATCTGTACCTGGTTGTATCTTTATGTTTAGCAATAAAATTTTGGGCACTCTTTTCCTCCTTCCAATGGCCATTGAGTTTTTAGGAGCTTGATGGTTATGAAGGGGTTTTTTAATGAGGCCCTATTCTTATAAAAAAAATTACTAGGGCAGACAACCAATTAGCATGAGAGCTATCCTGCCTCAGATGTCAAGAGTCCCTTCTAACTCATTCAAGCAATGAAAAAATCATGCATACTGAGAAGATGAACACATGGAATTGATAAGATTCCATATCAATCTGAAAGGGCATATGGTCATTAAACCGATGTACTACATTGTACACAAGTTAAGAAAGTTTAAAGAAAAACGTGAAAAGACTTTGGGACTCATACCAGAAAAATTCTCTGAAGCTGAGATATTGTGCTTGCAAACTTAACCTTTGACGGTTCTTTTTTATTCCAGATAGACCTGCAGTGTGGACACTTCAGGTATATTGGTAAATCTCTATTTAACATGGAGAAAGAGGATCCACCATTATCAAGGCTAACAGAATGAAAGCCTTTTTCAAGGTCTCTTACAGCGACAGGCAGACCTGCCACATTCTTAGATGTCTGATTATGCTCCTCAGGCATAGGAAGTGGCGGCAGCCCATCTTTGATGATGTTACTATTTCCCACAACTTTTTTTGCCTCATCCTTGTTTTTCACCTTATTTACAGAAGCAGCTTTAATACCATTATTATTGCGATGAACTTTACCCTGCCCGTTGTTCTTGCCCACCGTTGAAGAATCTGTCGATTTGTAGTCTGAAGCTTCCGCAGAGCATTCTTCAAACAATGAATATGGGGGCCTAAGTTGGTTGAGATGCTCTGGGTACAATAAGAAACGGTGGCCATGAGGGCACTCATGCTCAAAACCAACATATGCCATCACATGCTTCATCTCAGAGTTCAGTCTTGCCTTTTCATCATTGATCATATTCACAGGAACAAAATTACTGCCAATTCGTACGAAAGGATCACTATCAGCTCTACCATCAGAACTTACTTGATTCAAGTTTGGAGTAACAGACGACATCCGTATGGATTTTTGAGATCCTTGATCAACAGTCGAATGAGCTTCCAAACTGAGAGCACTTGCCTTATGTTTCTTTGTTCCTTTTTCAGGGCCTGATAAAGGCTGTTTCCTCTGCTGAAGAGGAGGGAATCCTGAATCTGCTGCTGTTGACCCAGCGACAACTTCCGAAAAAGGTTTTTTCATCGTGAAATTGGGAAGGCCTCTACCAAAACTGATCTTGTTACCATTTAATTTGCTGATATCCAAGGGGTTTTTGGGATTTTCAACAACATTCTCAGTTTCTCCAGAGCAGACCTCTGTGGAATTAGCCTTCTTCAACTGAACATCAGCATTAGTCTCAGCCTTAGAATCTCTACTTGACCTACCCACAGAACCAAGTTGTGTAGATCTTGTTGATAAGCCATTATGGGTTTTCTGTTTCTCTAAAACTATTTTCCACTTTAAAAGGAACTTCTCAGCGGTACTGAACCCACTCTGAAGTAAGCCTTTAGAAGGTTCATAGTACCTTGCACTGCCAATACGAATCAAACTCCAGGAAGATGGTTGAATTGGTCCTTTGCTGCTTACTTCTGGTAGCTGGAGCGCTGACAGAAGCTTGTCACAGTCAGGAAAAGGAATTGGAGGAAATGTTTGCCGATTCAAAATCGAAAAGGTCAGATCGCAATCTCCGCGTCCGACCACAAGCACAAGCATGAAGAAAGACATATCCACTTGAATGAGGTTTCATCAAAGCTCCTGAAGGTAACTCATCTGTCTCAATGTCATGTCTTTGGTGCAAACATGGTTTTCCAGTCAAACTAACAGCATCACAAAGTTGTCTTCCAGACTTCCATATTGATGTGCATTCTTCCTCCAGCTTCTTTGCAAACAGTTCCACTGCAGGTCCCCTGACCATTGAATGAAAAGTATGCAGAGCCCTTTCCAAATGAGCTTCATGCTGTGATGTGGGATACCAAGCAGGCAAATCTTTCAAATAAATCTCTTTTGCAGCTGGAAGGGCCCTTTCACACCACAAACTAGAAAACTTTGTGTTAATCCCTTTACCACTTTCCAACCAAGATACTGCAATATCTAGAGATTCGCTGCTTCTAGAAGCAACCCCTTCACCCTGGTCAGAAGCAGTTCTTCGACGAGGTTTTCTTTTACCAATCTCAGTTTCATCTATAAAACCACGCTTTGCAGAGAGTAGTCCATGCAAAATAAGCCGACTAGAAGACAGCCATATATCTAAAGTTGGGAGTTCAGGCGTAGTCAATGTCTTCGCAGAGGCAGTTGAGGCGGCGGCGGCGGCGGCAGCAACGGCCACCAAACCAACACCAGCAGCAGGGCCACTATTGGTGTTAGTCAATCCCCCTCTTCCCCTCAAAATATCTGACTGCCTGTAGATAAATTCCTTTAAAGATGATAGATCTTCTTTGCTTGAACTTTGACTATGAGTTTCGAGCAAAAAAGAATCTGAAGTCGCTTTTCCATTCAAAACATCTTCCACAAGACCAGTGGCAAACTCCAGAGATTCCCCATTCTTAGTTGTTGACTTGTCCAACAGCACAACAGCCCTGGATGCATCAAGCGAAAACAGAGGGGCTGAATTTGAAACACTCGCACTTCTTGGCCCACTGTGGCTGTCTTCTGAACCCAATAGTGTTCGGCATTTCTTAATTAAAAAACGGATCTGTGCCTCGAGGGATGACTGCAGTTTCTTCCGGAAACCACCTTCAGAATTACTTGCAGGACGTGCTAACACTACTACAGAGGCAGAACCTTTCGTGGGCAACATTGGCTTTGCTAAACTGCTTGAACTAGATGAATGATTAAGTGAGGATGCCTTTACTGACTCCTCGATGTTATTAGCATTAGAATTAGGTACATCAGAGAAATCATCAATGAAAACAAATAGCATCACCGGGGTACACTGGCCTGGAAACAAAGAAGTATAAGAACCTACACCTAACATGAGAGAGATAGCTGACGCATTGCGACCTAACATGCCACCAGTTCTACCTGGAGAAGTTTTGGCAGCAATTGCTGTTGCTGAAGAGCGAGAAGATGAGGAAGAATGAGGCTTTGATGGCAATGGTGATGTTCGAGATCTTACATATGGGATTAATGCATGCTTAGCAGCTTGCAACACCCGAAATTTTTTCAAATTTTGAGTATTGAAACAAGATCCCTCCTGAATGTATACAATAATGTGGCACACCTGCATTGCCAATTGAGTTAATTATAGATACATAGGCTATAAGTAATCATTCAACAACATGCTTTCTTATAGGGTTATCAATTTCCAGTCGGCTGATAAATACTACCATATAACACAAAAACGATAAAGAAAGTTCAATGTACTACACTAAGAAATATAAAGCTTTAATGCCAAATAATTAACATACTGGTATGGGAATGCCACCACAATATTTCCTTTTTTTTGGCAAGTATTGCTTGCCTCGTCGATCTCATTTTTATGTTCTTAACTCATAATCAAGGAACTTATTGTCAGGATTAAGCTAAGGTTGTGAATACATTTAACAGGAAATAAACTCAAATTCAACTAATACAAGTACATAATACAGATTAAAACTGATATTTTACAATCGAACGAAATATACCAATTCAAGACAACCTAAAGAGAACTTACAGAGAACATAAAAAGCAAGCCTTGAAGATCCTCGAACTCCCGTTCCTCCACAACCCCATCAAAATCCGACCCGGAAGTCATTGACCCATCAAAAACCGGGCATCCATTTGAAGAAAATTGTAGGAACAAGATCCCTTTATCTTCTTCATGATAGTAATTAATCCTCATATGCTTGAACCAATCACTGAGTTCATCTCTGTCAAGAGACAAAACCCGGTCCATTTGACCTGACCCGAACACGTTGGAGTCTACAACTCTGTTAATGAGCTGGGAAGAATTGTCGGGTCTCCGAGATACGAAACCCACCACCACGACGCCGTCGGGAGAGCGGGGAAGTGAAGGTGAGGAGGCTGGTAACGGAGGGGGAGGATTCGAAGAAGTGGGTACGGGTGAAGGAGGTGGGCGGGTCAAAACCCGCATTGAAGGCGGGCTAGGAGAGTCCATGATTGAGAAAAAGGGAACATAAAACGGTTAGATTTGCCGGACTTCCATTGAAAGAAATTCACGAGTAGAAGGAGCTTTGGTAAAGGAGCAACAAAGTCTCCGCTTTTTTAAATTAAAAAATAAATAAAATGACATACCTATATAATTAACCACGAAGCCATGGACTTCTGAGATTTTGAGCCCACGTCCTAGTCCAACAAAAATAAAATCACCACATGCACATAGAGCCTTGGTTCTCTCTCAAAAGTTTTATAATTGTTTTTTTTTTTTTTTGTTGCCCTTGTGACTCTCATTAATTGGGACCGATGCGGATCGTACACTTAGCCGTTATGAGTGAGTCTTTTAGAGGAAATTTTTTATATACATGAAATTCGAACTCAAAACATGCCTAAGCGATATCAAGTTGTTTATCACTAAAATCAACCTATTGATGTTTTATATTATTTTTTTATAGAAAGCCGATAGTTTTATTAAAAATAGAAAATATCCAGAATTACAATGAAAATTTACGAGCATAACCGTAAACGTAAACTAAATTATAATTAGGACATTTTCCTATAACCATTAACACAAAAACTAACCACCTAGATCACACAATGACCATAAAAAGAAAAGGTTAAAAACCTAACCAATACTCGAATAAAATAAAGATACAAACAAATCTGAGAGTCCAAAGCAAGGAAGATTAGCAAGATAAAAAATAAGTGTAATATTGATCAGTCGTGGCGATATCAAATTCAACCATGTAAAAAAAAAGATAAACAAAAAAGGCAAAAAACCGTAAGCTACCAAAATGCAGAGAAAAACGTGTCATAAAAGCAGAGATAAAAGTATCATAAAGACAGAGAACATGTCACAAAGACATAATTATTCTTATTAAAAAATTAAACAAAGACATAACTATTCTTATTAAAATTTACACAAGTTGTAAAAAAGAGAAAAAAGAGACAAAGAAGAAGAGAAAGAAAACGACTAGTGTTTTATATTATTAATAATGCGTTAATATAAATATACTTATATTATTATACTATTAATGATACGTTAATATAAAGATGGCATGTATAATATTATGGAAATATACATAACCGTAGTGCTAAAGATGTTTCTTATCAAAGAACTCCATATGTAAGTATGCAACTAGTTGGATACATTACATGAATCAAATTATCTTAATGATTCAAAGGATAGTTATAATCTTTAGAAGTTTAAATTTCGAATACATAAAGTGTTTAAGTGTTCATTGTCAAATGAGTTAGAAATCTTTCAAACAAATGTATCTTCTCAATCCCGTAAACCAGCGCTTTGAAAATAGACAAGAAAAAGAGGTAAATGTTAGAATTTGAATCCCGGAATTCGGCTGAACTCGTGAAAGATGATAAAATTCATTGAGCATCTGAATCTGCTCCTCTGTTTTTGTGATTAGGTTGGTTGTCTGTTAATGTCTCTGCAACTACCGGAAAAAAAAAACCGAATTTGTCAATTGGAAGCAGATGGATTCGAACACCGTAACTTTACTACTGCACATAATTGTGCTTGCTGATCCACTGTTTTGATAGCGAACGTATGGCAAGGATTCTGGAATTTGCGATTCTTGCCTGTTCATATTCATAGCCATCAACAGCAACTAGAGTAATTTGATCCGCATCAATGCACGGACACCGAGGCTCGAGCATCAATAGCAAACATGAACCTAAATCGACCCTTTACACTAGCTTGTGTCCGGCTATGCTTAGTTTACGATACAGTTGCTTTTCTTTCCAGTGAATCTTTCGTCAGCCATGTAAAGTTATCAATTTAGTGGTTCACTATTATGGGCAGTGGTGCAATACATTAAAAATAAATATACAACCATTTCGCGTCTATACAATTCTGCATAAATATACATATACATATACATATATGTACATGTATATATGCTTATGTTCAATATTTTCCTAGTTTTAAGATCTAAAAGGCTAGAAAAAAACTAGCTTTAAGGTAGTCAACAGCTTACCTAAATTTAAAGTATTCTTCTAGCTCTCAGATACGAATACATGAGAAAAAATGCCACAACACCACCAACAAAAATCCCTGCTGTGGTTAGCCAGAAGGCAAACTGCAATTGAATGGGGTAAGTTAGCATAGCAAAAGTGAGAATCATGTCGATGCAGAACAAATCAAGAATGAATAAGAAGATATCAAATGTTCAAACTTTTTATGATGATCATACCATATGTTCTTCAAGGTAGGACCTCAAGTTCATGCCGAATATACCTGAAAAACAGCAAGTATAATCTTGAGCCTCTGGACGTAGGTGCTCATAACTCTCACTCTAATCAGCACCACAGCATTTATTTTTTTCTTTCCTTTTCCCTCTTTTATCTTATTCCGAATATAGGCAGTTCCTCTAGGTCAAATCCTCCCCAACTTAAAAAAATAAATGAAAAATAACAATATCACCATATTTAACATGATAAATCCATGAACTAACCTACAATTATACTTGAACAAAAACAATTTTATTGTCACATGATGATCAAGCGCATTCTAGTAACAACTCATGATTTTGCAGCATCTTAGATTTACAATTTTTACACTGGCAAGCCATGGAGATTCTGATAACCAGACATTTGCCCGATTCTTGTTTTAGCTGCCATTCAACAACATGCAATCACAATAGCCTAAGCTATTCAAGAGGGTAAATTATAGCAACAAGGCCACCGTGCCTTATGGTAAGCAATTCAGGCATGTAATAGATAGAGGTTGGCTTGTATTTTTCTTGGTGGGGGGAAGGACAAACCTGCTACTAGAGCACCGACTGCCACACAAAATGTCCCAACCTGAAGAAGTAGTTCCACTCTGCTTACCTCAAGCCTCCGAGAGCTGATAAAAATTGTAACATCCGCAATAACGAGTTAGTGACTAAATTGAAAAGTTTCAGGATTTGGTGATCAATTTAGGAAAAATTGAAAAGTTTAGGGATTTAAATTGTAATATTTTGATAGTGGGTTAAATGGTAATTATGGAAGAATTGAAAGGGTATTATGGTCTTTTTATGTAAAAAGATATTTATTGTTTTATTTAAAGAGAGAAGCTTATGGGTGAGGAAGTGTCTGGAAAGCTTCATTCTTCTTCTTTCTTCTTCCTGTTGGTTTACTTCATAAGGGTGAGTTAATTTCAGCTTCTTAATTCTTGAATTTATAAATTAGTTTCGATTCTTTGGGTAGTAAATAAGCTTAAGGAAAGCTTATATGGGATTTAAACAATAAGATAAATGAATTAAGAAGGAATTTGTAATATGAGTTTTAAGATGAAATTTTGATATGGTATGGTTGTTGAAGTTTTATGGATGAATTTGACTTGTCATCAATCTAATTAATAAGTATGAAGTGTTAGAATTGGATTTAGAACACATTGAAAATTTAGTGTGATTCTTGAATGCCATGTAAATGATGGAAATTTGGGTTTAAAGAAGTGATTATGGAATAGAAATGAGTTTAAATATGTGTATAGAAGTTAGGAATATTAAAGGAAGTAAAATATGAAGGTTTAAGCTGAAATGAAGTGAATTTCGAGCTCAAAATATGATTTCTGGGCAAGGGGAATCGATACCCATTCAAGGGGAACCGATACCCCTTCAAGCGAATAAAATTTCCAGAATGTCATAGGGGAACCGATACCCCCACAGGAGGGAACCGATTCCCCCTAAAGGAAATTTGTAAATATTGGTTTAATAAGTTCGTTTAAGTTGCTAGTATGCAACTACAAGGTGTAGGTATCTAATGATTGCCTCAAAATGTACATTTATGTAGATTCTACGCATAAAGCAATTCCGGAACATTTGGCAAGTAAGATCGATCAAGGGAAAGATAAGAGATTGGAATTGACTAGTGAGGCCAAGGTGAGTGCATACTAGTGATAAGTAGTGTTTAATGGAAATAAGACTTGCGATGAGTCTATTTCCTAGAGTAATATGCATGAAGTCATGGACATGATTATGTGTGGTTATAATTATATGTGATTGTCTGTATTACATTGATTGTATGTATGCATGATTAAAGATAATGATAGGCTTTGTATATGCTATATGATTTATGTAAGGCTTTATTATGTAATAATGGAAGAACATGGAATAAGTTATATGATATGGTATAAGTGATTATACGAGAAATGTTAGGAGATTCTAAGAGAATAATATGAATTCGATGGCATAAATAAGGATACATAAGTTATATAGGTGTTTCTTGTGTTATATGAAGCATATATGATCATATGTGAACAAGATATGATATGTATGTTTATATGAATATCTGAGAAATGAACTAAGCTATATGATATGTTATATGACATGGATCTATGTAACTACGCGAGAAAGTATATAAGCTATGTGACATGTAAATGTGACTCATATGAAAATGTTCTATGAGTAATTGAACTATGTGTTATGTGAAATGATAAGTATAAAAGAAAATGCCCATGTTATGTGTCTTGAGAGCTAAGGGTATAGTTGGCATGCCAAGAGTCGAGGGTTTACCTATGTTCTACGGAACATATGGACAGTTTTACCTATGTCTTTCGAGACATATGGACAGTATACCTATGTTCTAAGGAACATATGGACAGTTTACCTAGGTTCTTCGGGACCTATGGACAGTTACCGAGGATCTTTATGACCTCTGGATAGGTCCTTCGGGACATTTATATGAGCTGTGATGACAGCATAGTGGTGCACAACCTCAATAGACTCACATATCTACAGTTCTCACAGGTGTACATGGGCTAATCAAGAGATATAAACAAATATATGTTAGTGATATGATAAATGTATTACAAATGATATGATGTTGTGTGTGTATAGTGTTTGATTGAAAAGGTTAAGCATAAAAGTATGTGATTACATGATAAACTGCTAATGATGATTTATGTATATGTATGTATTTATTGTTAATTAATCTGATATAATTTTACATGATATGAGGAAGTCATGTAATTTGGTATAGCATGATAGAACAGGACATGCATATATATTGATATATGTTATAAAGTGCATTATAAGTTTTTATGCCTCACTAAGTCTTCGACTTAGCGTGTGATTGTTTCACACGTAGGTTTCGAGAAGAGTAAAGAGTAATGCGGAGCAAGACAGGTCAGTTCTCCTTACCAAATGTCAGATCAGAAAATATATGTATTGGTTATAGAGTGTAGTTGGCATGTAGTCTAAAGATATAAAATTGTATGAACTCTGATATATTTTGTAAACGTTTTGAATAAGTTAAGTGTTATCAAAGTTTTTAAATTACTCACTATTTTATACGAATAAATGTTTGAAAAGTCAATGTTACACTTCGGACTCGTATCCGGGTCGGATACGGGTTGGGGGTGTTACAAAAATAGTTAAAAACAGTGCTATTTCATTAGTTAAAGGATTGTGGATTCAGACACAAATGAAAGTTAAGTTAGTTATGGATCTTAAAATTCAAATTATCAATATCACGGATAAGATGATCGCAGGATTTTAGAGGATAAAGTATTGAAGAAACCTCAAACGAAATGGTGATGCTGAAAACCAAAGCAAATCAAACTTCATCAATACCTTAAATTGACAGCAATAGAATCCTCCATTTCTTTTGCAGAATCAAGAAGCCTCTCCGCCTGACCATGGCAAGATTCACATCTGCAAATGCAACAATAAATTGTAATCAGTTAGAGCCATTGAAAGCAGAACATGCACACAACAAGCCCTTCTGCCTGGCCCGTGAAAATGAAACCAACAGTCGGCCTCTTCTAAGAAACTCTACTATTCCCATGATAACCAAACCTCAAAATACAATTAAAAAGCTCTAGCAAGCAAAGTTGAAGATCATCAAGAATATAAAAATGAAGAATATAAATGATAACCTGTTTGATTCACAAAACTACATACTAAATATGCGTCATAAATGGAACAAAAGAAAAACCTTTGAAGATAATTTTCCAAAAGCATCTCAATCTCTTCCTCCTCTTCTGTAAAAGGACCAAACCAAATTAGAACTTCTCTTAAAAGAACACATCGAAACTGAGTTTGATGAGAAGAGTTTACCTTCAGCAATCATTTTTTCTAAGGGCAGAGAACATTCCATTTCATCAGTTCCCTTTTTCAAAGTACAGTTTCTTCCTATTATACATATTCGACGTATTTCATGGGGGTCCTCCAAAAGATCAAGCAGCATTTGTCTAAGGGCCCCTGCTCTTGAACCCAATTCAACCTAGCACGATAAAACAAAAAGAAAATATAAAGATATCAACTATTAATTATTATGCAACTAAACAAGATTTTGTAAAGTTAATATACCAAATTCTGCTTGCCAATACGAAGTTGCTCCAATATGTCAGCAGTTAATTTGTAAGGCAACTCTTCAAGCAGAGCTTGAACCTACATATAAGAAAGAGCACCAATGATTAAACAAGTTCATATTATCGAAAACTATCACATAATGACACTGTAGGCAGTCAAGGTACAAACTTGTAAGTTCTGAATTGATCACGGTGAACATACTGAATTGTTTAGGTGTATAACAATATATTATAAGAAAAACATCCATTTTAAGTTTATCAAACCAATTGTCAGAGGACAAATAGAATTAGTTACTTTTTAAGGAATGCTTAGAGTACATGATAATAACACAAAATAAGGCTCCCAAATGAGCAAGACAAGCTTCCCATTAATTAAGCCCTATTTGAATAAGCATGCTCGTTCAAACTTTTATCAGGCGCAAGTTTGAATTTCTATATAATTAAGCTCAGTAAAAATTGTTTTTAAACGGCAATAACAAGCTCCTGCATGATGTTCAAGTTTGATATTCATGGATAACTAATTAATGATTTATTCTATAATAGAAAAACCCCTTGTTATTTTTTCTTAGGTATTCAATTAGATTATTTAGTTGTTTAAAAGTTAATGATCATTAGCATAAAGGCACTCAGTGCTTAACACCCTCTTCCTCACACTTTCCCTCTTTAACAGAATTGACCAAGCTTAAACTTGTTCAGATTTCATAATTAACAACAAGCAAAAAATATTTTCAAGACCAGTTTCAAGTTGATAAAGAGAACTTGGTTCATGTGCAACTGTTAAGAGTAATAGGACAACATTGTAACATCTTGAGGGGACCGAAAATGACTGATTAGGCATAACTCCCTATTTTTTTATAGCAAAATTTAACTAGAAGGCCAATGAGATTTTTGAGCCTGTGTGAAAGAGACAGGAGAGGAAAGATTTAAAAATATACAAAAAGACATGGAGCCAAAAAAAATTTCTTGAATCGGCTGTTCTTTCCTATCGTGAAAACTAGTTACTACTGAAATTTGCTTTTAACCACTACAGTAGGGATGGCAAACGGGCGGGTCGGGTGCGAATATCCCATCCCCATCCTCATACCCACATACTATTTTTCAATCTACCACCCGCCCACCACTCATGATGGGTACAAATTTTCAAATCCACACCCGCCCACGCGGGTACATTTTCAAATCCATCCCCACACCCACTACCCACTAGCGACGTACCCATCTAGACCCGCCTGACAACAAACTAATGAGATGTTGGAGTTGGTTCTCAGACAGTTTGTGATGGGGTAGCAGCACATGCTTTAATTTGTCAGAGGAGTGGCTCTACGAATGTTATGGAGACAGATTATAGGGAGCATGTAGTCGCAGAGCTGGATTGTTGTGTTGCTTTCGATGTTAATGCTCATAGTGCGCCTAATATGGGTTTTGAGGGGCTAAAGAACATGGAAACTGCTGCTTTTGATGTTAATGCTTATAGTACGGCTAATTTGTGTTTGGATGGGCAGTATGGGCTAAAGAACATGAAAAATGACGTGGTTAGTGGGATTATGGGTTTAATCAAAGAGCCGAATATTTCCCTAATTAAATACCAGATTAAAGACTAAATATCCTTAATATTTAGTTAAATTATATGTTATATATTATATAATATTAAAATTTATAAATTAGTCTCTAAAATTATACCTAAATTCATAATGGTCCAAAATTTAATAGATATTTAGCTGGGCGGGCGGATGTGGGGCGGGCGGATGCGGGGCGGACAGATGCGGGGCGGGTAATGTCTCAAACCCATTACCCACCCACCACCCACGACGGGTACCACTTTATAAATCCACACCCGCCCACTACCCGCTAAAATTATATCTATCCCCGCTCCAATTGGAGCGGATGCGGTGCGGAATCCACGAAACCGTACCCGTTTGCCATCCCTACACTACAGTAAATGTCCAAGAAATTCGGGGTCTGCAGCTTCATAAGGACTTACCCAATTCACCATAAATCTCGTGAAATAGTGAAAAAAGAAAACAAGAAATAAACAAAATACTCACTATGTTTCCATACTCACACGAGGTTCTATATCCATTAGTCTCTGCTCCAACCGCTGTATTCGTGAAAGTAATGCAGCTTCGACAACCTGAAAGTATCACACCAAATGTCTCTCACAAAGTACAGATGTCAAAAATCATAGCTTCCTTGTAGATAAACCTATTTCATTAGCATATAAAAGCAAGGGTCCTCGTAAAGACACAAACCTCAAGCTCGAATGGCATGCAATGCCCTCCATTCATGGCGTTCAGTCTAGGCAACAATGTGTCCATAAAAGCCTTTCCGCCTTTACTAAAAATGACCAACACATGCAACAAGTCACCATGTCAGTTTGAAGAGATGAAACAATGAGAATGTATTTGCACCGGTGCAAAATTACCGATGATAGTCGAATATAAGAACACAGTCTCTCATTGCAATTGCTCGTAATGATCCCAGCGTAAGTAGAATTGCATGCTCTCGTACCTTAGAGCATTGAATAGAGAAAAATGATTTAGCAAGCACATATTAGACAGAAATAGAGAGAGAAAAATTGATACTCAAAGCCAATACATTGGGACCCAAGCATGACAAATAAAAGGATAAGCTTGAGAAGGAATAGCACAAATAGAGATTACCAGAAGAGAAGGCCCCGAGTTTGTCAAAAACAATGATGGGTCGACGCTTCGGATGTCTCTCGGACGAAGGCCTAAGAAAACGGTGAACAAAAATTAATCCACAATAAACAAATAAGTAAATAAAAGACAGTTATTTTCCTGCAAGTAAAGCTTAATAATAAGTAAAAAGATGAAAAAAAAATACATTACCACTTGATTTCAGTAATTGACGTCGGTTTATCTTCCTTGTAGATACTACTCCATTTGACTTCACCTCTACCACCTTTATATGGGGGAAATTAAAGACGATAATTAAAGTTATAAACCATTCAAAATAATAAAAAAGAAAAAAAGGAGACAAAGCTGGAATGCAATCCAAAAACCCGAAGAAAAAATGGCAAATTAGTAATTAGCAACTAATCAGAATTAGCACATAATACATAATTGCATGCAACTATCTTCTTCTAATATTAGAAATAAATGAAAAAAAGAAGGTAAAATTCTACTTATCTCACTGTAATGAAGGATAATAAAAATAAACACCTCATAAACAGGCTCACGAATTCCAAGCGATGGAGAATCACCGGAAGAGGTAGTGATCCTCTGCGTCGCAACTGCAGAGCTAAGGTGCTGCTGCGAGTTCGGATATTCAGTCCCTCCAAATTCATCATAATCGCTGCCAACATTCTCAGCGGCCAACGTTTCCGGTTGGTTCAAACGGTCTTCTTTCGTGAACGATCTGGTAGTAAAGTACTTGATCTTGCTCCTGCAAGAAGAAGAAGGTTTCACTTTGACCGGGAGTAGGGGAACCCCGCTCTTTTGAAGCAAAAAACGGCGAAGCGGTGGGACATGGAGAACCGAAGAGAAGGTAATGTGTGGACGTGGATAGAGAAGGAGATGGAGATTTAACAGATAATTGCAGAAGATTTGGATAAGAAGAAGAAGGGAAAGGAGTTAGCGCCATAGTTTTGGTTTCTTCTCGTTGACAGAACGGATAAACTGGCTTCTGCTTTTTCCAATCCGTTTTATCTTATTTTATTATGATGTGGCTTAGAATTAGATTCGTCGTCTTTTTATTTCATCTTTAATGTAAATGGTATATTTCTGATTTTAGTCCGTTGAACAAAAACTATTTTGATTTTAGTCCCTTTATTATATTGAAATTTGAGGATCTAATCTCCCCTTTAATTTCACATAATTCCTCTCTAATTTTTTTATCATTATAAATTTAAGGACGGAAAATAACTTTATTTTGTTTTTTATAGGAGACAAGACAATAATTGTTAAAGGTGGGGCGTTCACGGTCGGTTAACCGTTACAACGGTTACTAAATTTTGTTAATCATAATCTAATCATTAAGAAACGGTTAATCGTTAGCAATTAATCATTATTAACGGTTCGATTATAGGGCACCCTATGATTAACCTATTATAATATTTTTTAAACATAACACAACTTAAAGTTTTCCAATTGTTATAAAATTTAGGATGATGGAAACATATATATTTGTAAAAATCTTATTTATTTATAAATGCATTTTATTATATATATATATATATATTATGAGGTATATTCATTTTGTGCAGTTTAAAACTTTGTGTGTGTATAATTATATTTTGTTAATTTAAAATCATGTATTTATTCCATCTATGTTTAATTTAATGTGATCTTATACAAGATAAACATGATAATTAAAAAATAGGAGGAATCATTTTGATTTTACTTTTTTAATTTTATTCTCTAAAAAATATAATTAATTAATTATAATTTATTAATGGTTAATCGATGGTTAATCATTTATTAAAATTCATTAATCGTAACCGTAACCGTTAATCTATATTTTTAACGGATCGATAAACTAAAATCTCTTAATCTTAATGGTTCAATTAATTAACCTATAAAATGAAACGGTTACATCGGTTAACGGTAACGAATTAATTTGAATACCCCTCGTTAAAGGTTTGAATTTAGAATCAGATTTCAACCAACAATTTAATAACAACAAAAGTTTTTTTTAATCACTTCATCAATAATTAATTTATTACTTTTGTTTTATACATAAATTAATAATATTATTGGATGTTATCAATAAAATGATAATGCAATTTGTTATTCTAAAACAATTTTAAATGTTTGAGTGACATGATTTTTTTTAACGTGATAGATTAGGTTTCTATGACCAACTCTATAACTGAATAATAGTAAAAGAAAATTGTATATCATCAATTTAACAAAAAGTAAAAGAAATAAATCTCATATTGTGATGTAGTAGAGGGACTAAAATCATAATAAGACCAAATGTATTTTTCTTCTTTATTTATATGTACTTTGGGCAGAAAATTGAAGAGAGAAATGGTTGAAAAAGATGGGAAATAACATGACTAAGTTGTTGCAAAGTGCTACTTGGCTCGCTCGTTGTGGCTAACCGTCCTTTTCGTTTTTCGTTTTTCGTTTAAGACATGTGAACGAGTGTAGACAATCTTGTTCGCATAATGGTAGGAGCCTTCGAGGCTTGCATGCCAAGGAATTGGGCACGGCACACCATATTTGACATCATATGGACATCTCGAATCTTAAGCTTTTGGAATAACCACTAGTATTATTTAGTATGTTTAGGGATGGCAATAAGTCAAGTTAAGGTTGAGATTTTTATTAGTCTGATCGGATTTGAAAAATCTGTATCATCACTCGAATCTAACCTAAAGGCAAAAATTATATATCCTTTATTCGACCCGACCAAAAATATATATTCTCAATCCGACTCCGACCCGATCCAAATTTTTAGAGGATAAGTCTGACCCAATCCAGTATAAAATAAGGACTTAATTAAAATAATAATAAACTTTTTTAAGGAAATTACATTATTATCCCGAGTCAGATCAAATCGGAGTTTTTTAACCCTCCACTAGAACCTGACCTAACCCCTTAAAAAATCCGACCCGACTTGAACCCGATTTTTTTAAGAGAAAATCCAATCCTATCGAACACGTTTGTTTCGGGTTAAATTGTCATCCCTAAGAATGTTCTATTCCCATTTATATATTAACAACCATAAATGATGACTATCATTCTTTAGCTATCATCGTCATCATTTCATTACTTATAAATATAATCGTTACTCACTTCATTACGAAAAGCTGTGGTTTTTAAATGGCAATAAGATCCATCACTTATAACCTATGGGAATCAAGAAGAACATGTTTCACTAGACTAATGCAGTCAATGATGGCAGCCTCTAAAACTAGCTAATAATATTGTAATCCATTAGAATTTGAACAGTGATGGAGCAATATTTCAGATTCATGTCAATGATCCTGGATCATCAGTGAAGCGAAAATCTAAAATTTACTACTAGTAGCATCATTCCCGATTATTAGTCGCATAATTTAGCAAAAATTGTGCTGACAGATATTGAAAAAGATGGAGAGATATTCCGGCTCCATGTTAACCGACTCGAACTCGACCTACCATCTTAACAAAAAAATTTGACCCCAACAAAAATGAAGAACCAAGAATAACTTTTTTTACCCGTTCTAAACGAACCTGAAATTTTAATTGAAAATCCGAGTATGACCTGACCCGACACAAAACCTGAATTTCATTAAAGAACACTGATCCTATCAATTCGGATTAAGTCAAAACCTGTCAGATACAGTTTTTTTTTTGCCCTCCCTAATTGAGAGTGAATAATAGTCCAATGTACCATTGAATCATGATATGCTAGTCCTAAAGTATATAAATGCCAAGAAAACACATCCTTCATAATCTAAGGGGATCAGAAAGAACATGTTTCAGCTGTTTCATTGCAGGCAACAATGGCAATCTCTAAATTTGCTACTAATAACATGTAAAACAAAAATCAATAGAAGTTGGAAAACTCAATCAAGCTCTCTCATCCAACTAACCTTTGGGGTTGAGTCTAACAGACACAGAACTGAATAATTCACGAGTTCATAAGAATTCTTCAATGAGAGGCTGGTAGAACAACTTGTAAGCTTCCGAAACTTCAAGATACCACATCGCTTCTCGATCTGGAAACGGAGATAAATCAACAATCTTATGAACCTATTAACAGCAATGATCAAAGTGTTGGGAGAAAAAAAAACAGTATTTCATCTTAAAGACATACAGCAAACAAGATTGAAACATTTCTTGTGAATATATTAACCTCCATTTCCAGAGTTTTTAAATCATTTCAATTACTATGGATGCAGTAAACTACAGTCAATTATGGTCACCAGCTACGATCAAGCTTAGAAATATTCAAATTGATTCGTTCAACAGCTCATTGGATCCAAATCAAACTCCACTACGCAATGACCAAGCCAAATTCTAATATTTTGCATGCCAAAACCAGTAATTTGTAAGTACATTCCTCTTTTACCCTCTTAAGAAACTACAAAAAATAAAAGGTGAAGAAGACAATTTAGAGCATGAAAATGAAGAAATTATGAGGGAAATTCCGAGTACCTTAATAACAGGGAGATCGCCTGTACGGATAAAGTATCCTCCCACCACCATTACATACATCCCTGCAAAAGTTTTTTCAAATGCCATATTGGTTGAACACAAAGAAAAAAAGAGCAGTGAAAAGGAAAGGGGAAAACGAATACCTTTTCTCCATTGACGTTGACGGGAATCAACGGATAGGCTAAGCTCGACGACGCTGGTGCTATAATCGAGAAGAAGGCGGTCGTCGTCGTCGTTTGAGACCAAAACGCCCTATTCAAAACAGAGGAAAACGGTAAAGAGGTAGAATAGGGAAATTGATTAAACCGAAAAGAAGATACCTGGATCCAGACACGTTGGAAGAGAATGCCGCCAAGAGTCAAGGCATTTTGAGAAGGGGTTCCTCGGGCATCTTTCAGCTGCCCGCATAGCAGCTTCAGCGCAGCTAAACTAGAGTCCATTCCCACTGGCTTTTTTAATATTCCGCTCTAATGAAAATGAGGGGTTTTCTGTTTTCCCCGGTATTTTTCAGGGAGTACTTTTACTTTAATGTTTTTTACATTTTGTATCTCTTTATTAAGAAAATTATATCAATCTTGGCGATTTTTTCGATATATCACCGTTAAATAGTATAATTATCGATTAGGTATCGTTCATATTATATTTTTTGATCTAATACATTTTATAGAAAGGCGCTCCTGCAACGCGCTTTATGTTGATTTGGTGTCACGTGGGGTAAGACGCGCCCCTGAAACGCGCCTTATGTAAGGCCCGCCTTACCTTTAACACAATTATATTAAGCCCGAAACAGGGGTCGCGTCTTAGCTTTATCTGATATAATTATGTAAGGCGCGGTACAGGTATTGCGTCTTGTGGCTTTTCCTGGCTATAAATACCCTTTCCCGGGGGAACTCCTCATACCTCCTCTCGATTATAAAAAAATTAATATAACAATCCGACAATCTTCTCATATTTGATTCAGAAGTTCATGCGATTTTTCGTTATAAAGTAATTTTGTGATAATTTTTTATTATACTTATTGTTTATTATGATTATTTGAAAAAATATTATACTAATTGTTGTCAATTAATTTTTGTGTTTGTAAAATTAGAAAGCGGGAGTATACGTCGAAATAGTTTTGCGATACAAATAATAATATAAAATTATATTATTTAAATTATTTACGTTTATGTGTAAAAATTTTATTGTGTTATATTTTCGTTCATATATTATTTATTTAATCAGTATTGTTTTAGTTATTTTTTTTTGCAGATATAGTATTGTCGCACTTTTAAACTCAAAGAATGACGTGACTTTCAGTTATTGTTTATTATGATGGTGAAATTCGAGAAGATGAAATCGGCGTTGTTTTCGTATCAAATGAGCGTGTTAAAATATCATTGAAGAGAAACATAACTCTTGAGGAGCTGATAACGAAGATTTCGAGGAAGATTCATGTTGGAAGTAGTAGAAGAATATCGTCGTTGCAGTACATATTTCCAACATCATTGTTGCCATTAACTTATACAGCGTTCGAACTTTTTAACACTGATGATGTTGAAATGATGGTTGAAGCTCAAAGTAATTATTCAGACGCCGATATTGAGATGTATGCAAATTTTATTCAAGCGCGTGTTGTTCGGGGTCAATCATTAAGTTCCCACTATGGGTTGGCTGAACAAGTTGGTAAAGTTGACAGCCCGACGATAGTAATGTGTAATGATTTTAATGTCATAATGGGGAGACATTCATTTGCAACTCCTTACGATATGTACCGAGGTGGATCGACGAACAATCCGTATGGTAACATCGTGTCTAGTTCAAGGGGTAAACATTCATCTGCAAATCCCTTTGACCTTAATAAGGAGATGCCATCGACGCAACAATCTGTGGAGTTTCCATTTGACACGATGGCTTCAAGCTCTAAGGGGAGGCATTCGACTGCGAGCTTTTTCGATCTGAATATCGATATGCCTTCCAGTTCAAGGGTAAGGCGTGCAAGTAGTAGGTTCTTCGACCTAAATGTAGAGAGCGTGGAGGAACAATCATCTCCACCAGAAGAACCGCTTCATGAGCCTGGTGCGAATCGTGTTGAGACTGGACTATTCATTCACCCAGAATCACCGCAATTCAACTCTGATGATGATGATGATGTGGATGAAGTTCCAGCAAATGTGGCACAAACTGACCCTCCAGCATACATGTATGAAGTTGATTATGGTGTAATGTATGGGCCAGAATTTGTGGATATGCCTCATCTCGGTGACTATGGATATTACTCATCAATAAATAATGGTGAGTTATATTTAGGCATAGAGTTCTCAAGCAAAGAAGAAGCGATGATGGCTATAAAAAATTACAATATCCGTAATTCTGTTCAATCGAGAGTCGACCGCTTCACGACATAAAAATATGTATGCTATTGTGCCTGACGCGAAAACAAATGCAATTGGATGGTTTGCGTATCGAAGAGGAAGAGGAAAAACAACAGATGGGAACTAACAATATACAATAGTCCTCACACATGTTGTGCTGGAGGGGTCAACCAAGATCATCTCAACTTAGACTCTGAAGTGATATGCCAAGCCGTCATGCCCATGGTAAAAACAAGCTCTCATATAGTTATTGTTGTGTTGATTTCAGCTATACAATCGCAATATGGGTACACTGTCTCCTATAAAAAAGCTTGGTTGGCAAAACAAAATGTCATTGTCAAACTTCATGGCGAATGGGATGCATCTTACAACGAACTTCCAGGCTGGTTTAGGCTGGTGCGGAGGTTGAATCCTGGGACAATTGTGGACTTCAAAACCTCCTATGCATACCATAATGATCGAGTTCTCCGCGATCGATGCAAATTCTACCTGGTTTTTCCACAGTGCGTTAATGCTGTCAAATACTGCAAGCCTGTGGTCCAGATCGATGAGACTTTCCTGTATGGAAAATACAAGCAAGTTTTATTATTGGCAGTTGTCCAAGATGGCAATCGCAACATTCTTCTAGTTGCTTTTGCTCTTGTCGAAGGAGAAGATACATATTCTTGGGTTTTTTTCCTCCGAAATTTACGTGCACATGTTATCACGAGGGAAAACAATATGTGTCATTTCAGATCGTGGAGCTGGGATCAAAGCAGCAATGGAGTCTTTGGGTCCAATGTGGCAACCACCCTTTGTCCAACACAGGTATTGTCTCCGACACATTACTGCGAACTACCATGGAAGATACAAAAAGAATGATGAGCGTCAATTACTTGTGCGCATGAGTAAGTGAAACTGATGTAGTTTGTTTTCTTTCGATCCTTTTGACCAGTTTAGTAAGTTATACATTTTTTGATCAGGTTACAAACTACTTCCTCGAATCTTTGAATCAATGCTTCAAGATTTGCGGGCGAAGAACGAGGAAGGATACGATTACATCAGCCTAATCGATAAAGAAATATGGACGAATACATATGATGGTGGATATTGATATGGACACATGACAACTAACTTGGCAGAGACAATCAATTCAACCTTAAAGGGTGCACATCACTTAACTGTAGCGACTTTGGTAAAGACTACATATTTTTGTTTGGGGACGCTTTTTGCGAAGCTCGGGGATAAGCTCAAACCTGGATGCAAGACGGTCATGTCTATTACCCTAGATTAGTTGCAGATCTACAGAAAAAAAAATTGTTGCATCAAATGGGATGTCTGTAACAAGTTTCTCTAGAAGGCATGAAATGTTTTGTGTCACAGAGTTGTCGCGACCTCTTTAAGGGATTGAAGCTGTGTCGTTAAGAGTAAATCTAAGGGATAGAACGTGCGACTGCGGGTTTTTTCAAGCTGTAAAATATCCATTCTCTCATGTGATAGCAGTTTGCTCGCATACACATCAAGACTATAACCATGTTGTGGATCATGTATACCTACTATCTGAAATTTTTAAGGTATACGAATTTGAGTTCCCCCATAGGTAATGACAAAGACTCTGATGAGGTTCAAGATTGACTTCCAATTGTACCAAATCCGAGTTTATTGAGGGAGTGTGGTCATCCAAAATCTAATCGAATTTATTGCGATATGAATATTCGAGAAAGATCTAGACAAGACAGAAGATGTGGGCATTGTAGAAACCCATGACACACTAGAAAAACATGTCCACTTCTGTTGTCATCAAGTAACAATTGATGAGGAAATGATGTAGTTATTTATCAATTAATAATTATTGTACTTTAATTTGCATTTACTTCAAGTTAATGTTATTCGATAACCGTTGATGAAGATTAAAAAAAACGATACAATTATACGAGATTGGACGTTGGCGTTATATTAACAAATAACTGATATTAACGATACAATAAGTATTAAATGGTAAATGATAACCAAATTACAATTACTAATATTAAATGGTTATAAACAAAATTAAACAAAATAAATTAACAAAAAGTCCAACAAATTTAACAAAATAAATTAAAATAAATCCAATCATATTAACGAATTAAAGTAAGTTTTAAATGATAAATAATAAAAAAATTACAATAAAAAAGTCCAATAAACAACTACAATAAAAAGTATTAAATACAAATATAATAAAAAAACAAAATCTATCGATGCCTACGACGCGAATGTGTTCCGTAGGGCGGTGGTTGTCGGTCTCGAGGAGGATTTCTTCGAATCACTAGTTGTGACTCCTCACTTTCATCATCATCATCATTGTTGTCGTCGTCGTCGTTGCCGTCGTCACCGTCGCCGTCGTCTTGAGCAACTAAATTTTGTTGATGAGGAGCTGATGACGATGAAGAACCTCCATAGAATAAGAACCCTGTAGGTGTATGACTGTCTATCCCACCGGCCTGCGAAAACTGGGAAAACTCATAAAACCCTGACATCGCTGAGTGTGAAAACTGTACAGGAGATGTCTGTGCTGCGGCCATGGGTGATGAGGCTGAACTCGCCAAATATTCAACATATAAACCCCAAGTCATATCTGCAAACATAAACCCATACCCATAATAGCCTCCAGGAGGGGTCATATAACTCTGTGAAGGTGGCGGCGACGAGGTCATAAAACCATGTGAGGGTGGCGGCGGCGGCATCGGGTAAGGGAATGTCGGTGGCGGCATAACATATGGTTGCGGTATGTAAGTCGCTGTAGACGGTGGCTGCTGTGAAGGTCATGATGGTGCAGTTGAGGATGAACCGGAAGCACCTGCTCTCCGTCCACGAGTTGCGGGATGATGATGCTATGTCGGTGAATGTCTTTGTCGACATCGTGGAAAGGTCTATCCTCGTGCATCCTCGGGTAGCAGAAACGGTTTCCCGTTTCTGTTGAACCACTCATAATAATCATTACCAACCGTCAAGTGATCAACATAATTGGGCTCTCTACGGGGAAGGCGTTGATGTCGATCCTCCCACAACACGACCCACTCATGATGCCTCACCAACCAATCTGTATCGGTATTTTTGCGTCTATCTATACTATGCAACTCGTCCATATTACGAGGTGCTTCCGGAATTGGTTGAAA